AAAAATGATCAAATAAGAAGCCAAGAACAGGCCAGGCATGGTGGCTCATGTCTGTAATCCTAACACTTTGGGAAGCCAAGGCAGGAAGACTGCTTGAGGCCAGGAGTTCAAGACCAGCCTGGACAACGTTGAGAGACTCTGCCACCAGTATATATATAATATATAGTATATGTTATATATACTATATATTATGTATACAAAATATACATTATATAATATATTGTATAATATATAACATATTGTATAATATATGTTATATAGTAATACTATAATATATAGTATTAGTATACATTATATATTAATGCTATATATTGTATATGTAATATATAGTATTATATCTGTCTCTTATACACATCTAGATGTGTAAGGTTACACACACACACACACACACACACACACACACAGGCTCTATTCTTAAACTGTTGTTTACGTAAGAATTTTTACTTCTTGTTTACTCAAACATATTTCAATCTAAGGTGTGGTTGTTATACTGAAATACAGTAGATTTATTAGTTTTGAGCAAATAATGAGAATTCATCTTAACAGAAAATAATACTTGAAAATAAATGATTTTTATTTCAGACACCTAAATTTCAAGCGAACTGTTTAATAAAGGCATTTGTACATATTTGCTAGGAAATCTGCAATTTTTTTAAACAATTGAGAGTTTAGCTAAACATTCTCACTATTGTCTATAAGAACTGTGTGAAACATCTAGATTGTTCTCCTGTAGAGTATAGTCAGCTCTCCATATCCATGAGGGAATAGTTTAGGACCTGTTGTACTCCACATCAGTATTTTTGGTTGCCAAGTCCCTTATACAAAATGTACAGTTAGCCCTTCGTATCTGTGGGTTTTGATCCACAGTTGGTTGAATTCCAAAACTCGTGGATGCCAAAGGCAAACTTTTAAAAAATTAAAATTTTATAACTTTTCTGATTATAAAATACTGAGTATAGAAATTTAGAAATGTTTAAAGTAGAACAAAAGTATCTGTTATCCCTCAGATATGGAGTTAATTATTATTACTTCCTTATTGTAGTGCCTACCAGATTTTTAGATATGTAATTGTGTTTGTAACAGTTAGCGCCCTATTATATACATGTAGTTTTATGTGCTACTTTATTTAACAGCGTGAACATTTTCTTATGCCTTCCTTCTTTTTACATGCTGTAACAGTACTGCATAATTTGCTATCTAATGGATATGCTATAAATTATTTCACTGTTCTATACTGTTGAATGTTTAAACTCCTTGGGTTTTTACTTTAGAAAATAATGTTATGGTAAAAAATAATACAGAAAAAAATTTTTT